ATTGTCCATCCTACATCAGTGATAGAGGGTTTCTGACTGTTTCTCTCAGTAAAGAGGAGAAAGATTTCCCCATTGCTTACTCCATGGTGATCCATGAGAAGATTGAGATGTTTGAAAGGCTCTTGAGAGCCATTTACACTCCTCACAATGTGTACTGTGTTCACGTGGACCAGAAGTCTCCTGAGATCTTTAAACAAGCAGTAAGAGCCATTGCATCCTGCCTGACCAACGTGTTTGTGGCCAGCAAACTGGAGAGTGTGATTTACGCCTCCTGGTCTCGAGTTCAAGCGGACATCAACTGCATGCAGGATCTGCTAAAGTCACCTGTCCAGTGGAAGTATCTGCTCAACACCTGTGGCACCGATTTCCCCATTAAAACCAATGCAGAAATGGTCCAGTCTCTAAAATACCTGGGTGGAAAGAACAGTTTGGAGTCCGAGGACGTAAAGGCCAAAAATTGGCGCTGGCAGTATCATCACAATGTTACAAACGTTGTGACTCGGACAGATGTCAAAAAGGCGCCTCCACCAATACAGAGCCCTATGTTCTCAGGAAATGCTTACTTTGTGGTTTCAAGAGAGTTTGTGGAGCACATCTTCAAAAGCAAAGAGATTCAAAACTTCATGGAATGGGAGAAAGACACGTACAGTCCAGATGAGCACATGTGGGCTACGTTACAGCGGATGCCTTCAGTACCAGGATCTAATCCTTCAAACATCAAGTACCAACAATCGGACATGAACGCGATTGCTCGTCTGGTGAAGTGGAGCTACCATGAAGGAGATCTAAAGAGTGGAGCTCCCTACCCACCATGCACTGGAACGCACAGACGGGCAGTGTGTGTCTATGGAGCTGGGGACTTGAAATGGATTGTGCAGCAACACCATCTTTTGGCAAACAAGTTTGATCCAGAAGTAGATGATATAGCAATCAAATGTATGGAGGCTTTTTTAAGGTACAAAGCTATTTATGGTCAATCATTACTAACAGTTCAAAAATCTGACATTATTTTATGATGTTTTTAATAACAGGTTCAGAAGCTCTCTTTATATTTTTGTAAATAATGCATCAATCTTTTTTATTGATATGAAATATATTGATGTGTAAACTGGTGTACTGTGTGGTAGGAAATACAGTGTGGCATGTGAACTTCAGTGACTTTACTTAAAGATTGTCATCTCTGAGGCACCATTAGTGACTAACCTAAATACTATAATCACAAAGGAAACAATAAGACAAACACATAGAGTGGTTACTTTGCTTAAATATCACTATGGAAAGTACTCATACACTCATAAGGAAATATCCTTTGTTAACAATCTTAGTATTTTACATAGACCAATTTTATAACACTAATATTCTACACTCACCATATTTGCATCCGAATATACACTACTGATCTGTAATGTTTGTTAATGAGCTATCTATGAAAGCTGTTATGAAGGGCTGCCATTTTTTAAGAAAGGATTCAACAAACCAAAAATTATATGAAATTCTCGTTTTATATGCAATGATAATATAAGCATGAAAGCGAATGTATGCAGTGGGTTATAGAGTAACAAATTCTGAAACAAGTTAACAAGAAACCGCTGAAAAATATTCGGTGGAAAACCATTTGATAAAATATCTCCCTGTTCAAACCACAGAACAGCAACATTGTGCACAAAGAATGTCTAGGTAAATATGTAATAAAATAAAGAAGTCAAATGTTAACTTACTGTGTGACCCAAAAAGCCCCTTCTTGTTAGATGCTTAACCACACACTCTTTCACTTTTTCTACTGACAGCCATTCAAAAGTAACTGTGTATTCTGACTGGTTTCTTTTACAAACAGCATATGCTTATGATTGATCAGATAATACTGCCCAAGTGATTTAAACTACTAAAGTATTAAAACAGCTGTTATGTGGGGATCTGTGCTAACCGAGCAAACACAATTGAGATGAATGGAAACGTTAACCTCAGTGTGCTTAAATACAAAGCTCGTTTGTTAAGCTGATATTGTGGTGCCCTCTACTGGAGACTCATTTAAATAGACTCTGACTCTAAAGCGTTGCACTCTACTACAGAATGGCTTTATGTTGATTCTAATTTTGACCTGATGTGGACTCAAAGCAGCTATAGTCTGTAACTTCTTTTAACAGCAATGACGGTAGCCAAACCTAAGTGGTGAGTCCTAGAACAGGAATACAATAATAACAGAATGTTAATTTTACTCACCTGTTTTACTCACTTTCTTTCTTTTCTTTCTTCAGTGAAACACAAAATTAGACTTTTTCTTGAAACACAAACGGAGGGGGCTTTTTCAAACAATACAAATGGATCCTAATTTGAAACGCCAAGCTCGAAAAACGACAAGTGTGTCATAAAAGTAGTCCATACAACTTGTGGGCAATATTCCAAGTCTTTTGAAGCCACACGATCCCTTTGGGTAACACTTTATAATAACGTTCAGTTGTAAGTCATTTATAATTGATTAGTTAATGATGAACTAATCATTTACAAAACATTCATAAGCAATTAATAAGTGATATGCTAACAATTTGTGTATGTTTTGTTAATTCATTTACAAGTCATTTACAAGTGATTAGTTAATGATGAACTAATCATTTACAAAACATTCATAAGCAATTAATAAGTGATATGCTAACAATTTGTGTATGTTTTGTTAATTCATTTACAAGTCATTTACAAGTGATTAGTTAATGATGAACTAATCATTTACAAAACATGACTATACATTCACGATTAAGTAATATGCTAACAATTTACAAATCTCGTCAGTTATCTTAAAAAATAGCATCATGAAATAATCAAACAGATCCTTAGTAAAAGGTTAATACACTGAAAAAAATTTTTAAGGTAAGTGGTTGCAAACAATATATTTTAGCTACATTTAAATAAAAAAAATGTTTAAAGTTAGTCAACTAAATTTGTTTATTTAAATGTAGCTCAAATAAATTGATTGCAACCACTTATCTTACATTTTTTTTAGTAAATTCAATGAATCGTTGTTTTCAGTATAGTTACTAGTTAATATATTATTATTCACTTATAAATCATTGAAATGTCAACATTGTACTATTATCGCACAGCGTTATAAATACCCCATGTGTGTCAGAGAAGACATATGTCTACACCCTCACCAGTCAGCCCTGCGTTTACACAACAGGTTTTGAATACTTTGTAGTGTGTACTGCAATGTAAGGGCTGACTGGTGAGGGTGTAGACATATGTCTTCTCTGACACACGGAGTATTTTTTAACGCTGTGAGATAATAGTATAATGTTGACATTTCAATGATTTATAAGTGAATAATAATATATTAACTAGTAACTTATTAACCATTTACTAAGGATCTGTTTGATTATTTCATGATATGCTATTTTTTTAAGATAACTTGTGACCGATTGGTAAATCGTTAGCATACTTAATCATTTGTGAACGTAGTCATGTTTTGTAAATGATTAGTTAATCATCATCTAATCACTTGTAAATGATTTATAACTCAATCTACAAAACAGAGATAAAAAATATTAACAAATCACTTATTAATCATTTATGAACACATAGTTATGTTTTGTAAATGATTAGTTCATCATTAACTAATCACTTATAAATGCCTTACAACTGAAAGTTATTATAAAGTATTACCTAACTTTGTGAGAGGAACAGCCTGAAAGTTAAGCAGTTATTCACTGAAAGTAGTGCTGTCTACCGTTGTTGCCTTCAATAACTTTCGCCGGTCTCATTGAAAATGGCGCCTTTAGTTTTTGCGGGTCACGTGACCAAATACAGCCTATTATAAAAGCAACCGCGTGTTATATTTCATTCAGAGCGTTGGAGGTACTGGGCCCTATTTTAATGATCTAATCGCATGGTCTAAAGCACATGGCTCAGGTGCACTCAGGGCGTGTCCGAATCCACTTTTGCTAGTTTAAAGATGGGAAAATGGTGAGCGCATTGTTGTAGAACATTCACAATGACAATGTGATTTTTGTGTGGAAGTTTACTTGCAAGAACATAACGTACAAGAACCCCACCCTCCCAAACCATTAATGCAAGTGAACTGGAGAAATGTTATTGGTGCAATACATTTTTGCTTATTTCCTTTGTCTCATTTGTACATTTCTCCACATTCTTTAATCATACAAGACATTCAGCAGTAAACAATATGTGGTATAACTGTGAGATGTTCAGTGAACAGATGACAAATAACGCCAGACTTTGGCCCTAAAAATAACATTGCAGTCATAAAAATATATTAATCTTTCTCCTTTGTGGCCTTTTGATATAAATATAGATATTTAAATGTAATGTATAACATGCATCGACTAGTTCGAAAACGGAGTGCCTTAACTAAGAGCAAGATACAATAGGAACTAGAACATGTTGACAAGATCTGCTTACTGAAATTATACATATAAAAGGTTATTAAAATGTTTCACGCAGAAATCAGATGCCATCTGACAAGTGCTTGGCACACAAATGCAACAGGGAGAAGAAAAAAAAGTCACATAACGTAACAGGCAGCCGAAGCTTTAAAGGGACAGCTCACCCACGAATAAAAATTCTGTCATTATTTACTCACCCTCACGTCATTCCAAATCTGTATGACTCTTGTGTGGAGCACAAAATAAGATATTTAGCAGAATGTACAAGCTGCTCTGCTCATTTTCAATGAAAGTGAATGGGGACCACAACTATCAAAAAGAGCAGCTGGGACATTCTGCTAAATAACTTCTTTTGTGTTTCACAGAAAAAAAGTCATATGGGTTTGGAATGACATGAGAGTGAGTAAACGATGGCAGAATTTTCATTTTGCGGTGAACTATTTCTTTAAAAGGCACTTTTCTGACATCAAGATCTTGCGTTCTCCAGTTAAAATACATTCTTTTATTCTTCCAGCTTCTCTCTTCAACTCCTCGGACTCACTCTGGCACTGCAGCGGTGGCGATCTCCACCTTCCCACGCATGTCCTGGTCAATCCTAAATAGAAAAAACAAAAAAAATGTAACGGTGTAAGGGATCAGAATCAAAACCATACCAACACTTCAATTTGATTCAGAAAGAACAGCCGTTTATACACAAATCAATACACAGACAAGGTCACAAAAAGGTCTCATGACTTTACACTCAAAGGTTTAGTCTGATCACCAAGACAACTTTTTTTTTAAATGAGGTTAAAAACATCATTATACAAACACAACAAGCAAAAAGATCATTTAAATCAATTAATATGGAACGTAAGTCAGTTGATTCGGCATCGTTCATTGTACAAACTGGCTGAAAACATTTTTTGAAGACAATTTAAGTGAAGCTTGTGCACAACGCAGTTGGTAAGACATTCTAAGTGTTTTATACTATCTGATGTAGACTACACTCTAATGCTCCGTCATGGCCCACTGTGAGGTTTACACAATGCATTTTGTCATGTGTAGGGGTTGGACATGCAGTGAGCAGTAAGAATGTGCATTGGCCAGACATGCATTTGAAAAAAATGTAAACCACCCGTGACTTTACTGTTCAAATCCTTCACCATAAAGTCTGATTTACTAGGATGGTCATACATACCATACTAACAGTGGCAGAACTGAGAGGACAGAACGTCAGAATCTAAATCTGTGAGATGTTCATTTCAAACACAAGCAAGTTAGTGCATTTGGCCAAAAACCTGAATGAAATTAATTCATAACAGTTACTGAATTATTCAGATGTGGAGTTTCACTAGCCTCCAATGTTCCCTCTATACAACACACTTCTATGCAGACCCAAAACTCACTGCAAACTCAAAAATGTGTGGCAAAAGCAAAAGCTTTATCGAATTCAGAGCTAAATTAATGTTCTAACAAGATTTGATAAATAACTAAATGTATGTCTTTTTATATATATATATATATATATATATATTTCTATATAAAATGTATAAATTATGTAATTTTATATTCAATACATTTTTATAAATAAAGCGGATAACTAATTACAAATTATAATATCTGCATAATTTAAATCAAGTGTTTAGTACATAGGAAAGAAAGAAATACTGCAGAACCTAATTTTTGTTCTCATTCGTTTTACATCATACCTTGACAAGTCACTTTTTTCCTCAAATTATATCAAATGTTGTCTAGTCCTTTGAACCCCACTGTACATTATTTCAGTGTTTTTAGTTATTTTATAAACGAAAACGATGACGACGTCTACCAAAATTAACTGAAGAAATTAAGAATATTTATGTATTTATTATTTTATTTATTTTAATAAATAATGAATAACCTTACAAAAGATTTTAATTGCTTTGGATGGTTTTTATTTTTTTATGGTGAACAGCAAGAAAACTGAAACTGCAATAGCGATAAGACAAAAACGACAGGAAATACTGCTTGCCTCAGTAGATTTTATAATAAAAGGTCAATGCTGGAATTTCAGAGCAAGTCAACACTTTTGCTCTGGAAATGTGAGACAAATTGTGCTCAATTTAAAAAGTGCAAAACAGCTGCATTCACAACAAATGATTATAGTTAGATGGCTCACAGCAGGAATTTAGCATCTTGACGACAATCAAAGAAGAAGCTCAAAAAGCAACTTTTGGTCCAGTGACCAAGTAAAGGTGTACACTTAATAAAGCCAAACGATTAATTGTTAGTTTCGTGCAATTCAAGCAAGGTCAACAGAGATACGGCAGGGATCTCCGGAATGAAAATACAGATACCTTTTACGTTTTTTCCTATTTTTTTCTTCGTCAAACCTTAGAGGAAAGGCAGGGAGAAGGATTAGGGCATAGAGAGTTTCTGAAGATACCACAGCCAACAGCAGCTAGTACTTGGGAGCAGATCAGACTTTCGGTAAAGTAATTAAAAAAGCTGGAATACTGATGAGAGATGAGAGCAATATGGAAACTTCAGTACGGAAAATAATCATTTAGCATAGCTTGTCAAAACAGTTTCAGAGTAATAAACGTACAGTAGAAACTGATAATTTCCTGTAAAAAAAAAAAAAGGACGCAGGAGGCAGAAGCAGCATATTAAAGGGATACTTACTGTTTAATGCAGTCTGGTATGGAAACATACTCCATCGGGACAAGCTCAGCCAGGTCTGTCAGGCTGTACACATACTTGATTTTCTGGCTAAATTTTGAGCTGTAATAGAAAGATTTACATTGAATAATGCATTAATAAGATCACTGCAGGAAATCAATTCATATTAAAACATATCTGAGGGGAACTAGAAAAGGACTGACCTTATAAAAGGTTTTGTGAGGGCCAGGAGGGTGCGAATAAACCAGGACGGGTGCACAATCATCAATGATTTCAAATTCTTCCTTAACCTGTATCAGAACAATTTTGTGTGAATATAAAATGTAACTTTTTTGTTTTTTCAGGGTTCAGAGTTTCTATATATTAAAATTGACTGAAAATAAAAATTTTATTATATTATTTTTTAATTTGAGAAAATTGTAGTAATTTTTTTTAAATAATACAAAAAATAAATTAATATTATGCATTTATTTATTTAAATATAGCATTATTATTATTAAAATGTTTTTACACAGATGTTGACTTGAAATTGGCTTTCTGGGGTTAGAACAAAATGAAGACAGAATGAGTAATTTAATTGGATAGTTCACCCAAAAATAAAAGAAATAAACTTTGTTAGCAAAAGCTATCAATGAGATTCTCACCTTCGATCTATTTGCTGATAGCATTTTCTGAGCCAGCCCACACTGGGCATCTTTCGGCGGGAAGTGGCTCCATTCAGGTATACAATCATGTAGTTCTCAGCTACAAGCAGCTCTAGAGTTCCTATGACATACCTGAAAGATACACAAAATGTTAGTTGCAAAACTACCTGAGGTTTGAGGCATCAAGTGAGGACTTCTCTACATCACCTTCAGGGCTGCTAAGTCCATTGTCTATTGTCAATAGTAGTCACTTTCAAAGCAAGCAGCTTTGATCATTTACTCATGATCAAGTCATCCTAGGTGTATATGACTTTCTTCTCTCAGACGAATACAATCAGAGTTATATTGAAAAATGTCCGGAGCTTACGCTACGTCCTACGTCATCCGCTGGAACGCCACTCTCTCGTGAACGCACGTACAACAGTTAGCGGAAGCTAGAGATTACCGTTTATAACGTTTTAAATATGGATATTTTTCTTACCCAAACGCATCGCTTCACTTCAGAAGGCCTTTATTAATCCCATGACAGAATTTTAATTTTTGGGTGAACTAACCCTTTTAAGGTGGGGTCGCATTAGTGAAATTTGGACAGAATTTGGGGGCAAAAAAAGTCCATTGTCTATTGTCAATAGTAGTCACTTTCAAAGCAAGCAGCTTTCTTTTGGCACGGAATCCACGTAACCCATTGCTAAATCTGCGGGAGGAAATCTTTCACATCACACGAAATTCCAGATTCTTATTGAAATGACTGTATTTGACCCATGAAAAAAAAAATAATGAAAAAAAATCACTAAACAATGGTAAATGTGACCACTAGACATGCTAGTTAAAGGGATAGTTCACCCAAAAATTAAAATTACCCCATGATTTACTCATGATCAAGTCATCCTAGGTGTATATGACTTTCTTCTCTCAAGATGAACGAAGATCTTACGGGTTTGGAACAACACGAGGGTGAGTAATTAATGACAGAATTTTAATTTTTGGGTGAACTAACCCTTTTAAGGTGGGGTCGCATTAGTGAAATTTGGACAGAATTTGGGGGCAAAAAAAGTCCATTGTCTATTGTCAATAGTAGTCACTTTCAAAGCAAGCAGCTTTGATCATTTACTCATTATTAAGTCATCCTAGGTGTATATGACTTTCTTCTCTCAGACGAATACAATCAGAGTTATATTGAAAAATGTCCGGAGCATGAATTTTTTTCCAGTGTGGTCGCTTTACAGATGTCTCAGATGCCTCTGTTTTAAAGGGATCTTGACCAGAATAAGCCATGCGGGGCATCACTAGAAACAAACCGGTTGAAAACAGCCATCTAGAACTTACTTGAAAAGATTGTCCATGATGTATCTGTAATTTGGTTGATTGCTCTCAGGCATAAAGCAAACAGCAAAGACGATGATGGCATTCAATCCATCGCCATAGTAACCTGCGAAAAGGGGAACCATGTTTGAAAGTGGCTACTGGCAAATGTTTGAACGTTAGTTTGCGCTTTTACAGCAATTACACAAGTTGACTGATCTAATCCATCTGAATCAACAGCTCAGTCTGTGTAATTGTTCATTATATAACAGCATGCGACAGCTGTTAGATGGCAAAAGGGAGGGGGAGGAAGTGCAAAAAGGAAGAAAGACAGATGGTAACAGGCTCTTCTGACTGAGAGATGATCTGGAAAATGTCTGTGGCGTTATAAATGACAGTAAATGCCACAGTACTGCTCTAAAAGCACCAAAGGAGCTGTTCTATGAGTGAGAATGCTGCTAAACACCATAAAACACCTCTAAATGTTTTCAGTTTCACCCACTGACAATTTCGACCATGGACAATTTCACTTCCTGAATGGTGCAAACAGAAAGCGTCCTTGTATAGATAACAGACAGGACACATTGGTATGGAAAGGTGCGGTAACTGACCTCCATGGCCGATAACCCTCTTGTAGGGCTCAATGGCCTTCATGTCCACCCGGTGCTCCTGCTCTCCGATGTGGAAGACTCTCCAGCGACGGCCCTCCTCGCGTTCCTCCGTGCTGGTGAACTCCTGCACCGACTCCACTCCTTTACGCAAGAGGTCCGCATTTTTGGGTTTTGGGAGGTCATCTGACAAGGGAAATAAAGGGTTTATTTGACTTAATATTTGTTATTTTTGAGTGTATGTGCGCTGTTTTCTTTTAGCGTTCAGTTGAGTGTCCATTTATATGATCAGGAATGATGCTTTACTGATTCAGAGTTTAGAAAAAAAACGTTCTGAGAGTAAAATCTACCTGCCAAAAATTAAAAATGAAAAACTAAATTCATTACACTCGTCCTGTGGTCTTTACTCTTTACCAACTAGAAAGCTTCTGTGCGCCAAAACAAGCAGACAAATTAAGGAGTATTAAACAAAAAAAAAAACTGTTTTAGTTTTGGCTAAAAATCTCAGATAGCATCATACGTGTCATCTTCAGTACAATCCATTATAGGACGCTCTGTGAAAATATCCAGTCAAGATGGCAGATTCAAGTGAATATACAGGTTTTTATTGAAGTATGACTGAAACGGCAATGATGTCTTAGAAGGTAACTGCCTATGTAGACAGTAGGTAACACAGTAGACATCAGGGCAGCTAGCTAGGTTTTGGAACAGAGATAATGTAAATACAACATACCTACATACATACATGCTAGTGCTAGTTTCTACCAGTTCATTATGGATACATCTGTCATAAGAATCTTTGTGAAAAAGTGCACTTAATTGTACTGAATGTGCATTTGTATTGTGCCGGGACAACTTCTTTATGTTTACAGACGTGACGTAATGACGCAGTCATGCTCGAATTTCCCGCGAAAACCTACCTGTACCACTCAAATTAGAAAACATTATTATAAGCTAACCGTTGTAATTCGGGCTAAAGTAAGGCGATAGTTTTGAACACTGGCTGGTTATGTACTTGCTCAAATATTGATTTCGGATCATTTTTAACCAAAAAAAGTTACGGACTGCAGCTTTAAATCTTAAAAGTAGATTAAAAAAAATAAAAAAAAATAAAAAATCCCAAACACTGTACTTGCAAATAATAAAATATGAATAAAATAAAAAGCCAACTCCCTTACGGAAATGAACCATGGTTTTACTACAAATAAAAACATGGTTTACATAGTTGAACCATGGTAACCAATGGCGCTTTACCACTGCATGGTACGGCACGGTACGGCTCGATACATTTCACTTTTGGGGGGTTTTCCACTGGGTACAGTACCTGGTACTTTTTTTAGTACCACCTTGGTTGGGGTTCCAAGTGAACCGTACCGTTACCAAAACGTGACGTGTAAACTCTGCTGATCACGGATTGGCCAGAGAAAATCGTCACTACCTGCACGGATTGGCCGGAAAGAATCGTCACTACCTGAACTTGCGACACAAACACAAAAGAACCGCTAGATTTAAATCAGCACAGCCAGCGAAGGATCGAACGCAACTGTTTTGAACGAGGGCACCTTTTTTTTAACAACCAAAAAGTTTTGTTGTCTGTTGTGGAAGAACAGACGTTCCTCTCGTTGATAGCAGAGGAGCGGATCCAGCGAGAGCTTGATGGGGCGACGCGGAATGAAAAAGTTTTTTTTAGGAGTCGTGGTAGTAGAGGCGGCGCAACTATAACGACATGTGAATAATCCCGCCCACTCTAAAGCGGTACTGAACTGCAATGGAAACGCAAACCGTGCCGAGCCGAACCGTGCCGTGCCGAGTCGTACCACGCAGTGGAAAAGCGCCACAAATTACCCATGACTTTTCTACACTAACCATAGTTTACCCATGGTATCTGTGGTTATACTAATGGTAATCAATCCGCTAAAAAACCATGGTTAATACACTTCTACTACAATAAAACCATAGTTAATTTTCTTAAGTGACTGAGTGTACTTAAGAGTACACTTTCATCACTATGACTCTTAACATAATTAAGTACACTTTTAAATGTGCACTTTGTAATAATCCCTGATAGCACACATATATCACAGAGACGTCTATTTGCAAGACACATTTTTTAGAGTGTTTGCTCATCTGCAATATGTCTATAGGACTATTCCTATCAGATGTCAAATAGAAGTTTAGAAGATGTCTTTAAGATGTTTATAATTTAGAATGTATGCAAAACTGACATCTTAAAGACGTCTTGTACACAGCAGATGCTTTCCAGATGAAGCGATCTTTAACAGACATCTTGCAGACGTACCTGCGCTATCTGGGATGTCATATTAAACGTTTTACTTCAAAGTACAATTTAAATTATGTTTATATAAACTTTTATCGTAAAAAAGTAAACTTATTTTGATGTGTTGACAAATATACTAGAGCACATGTAAAGTACTTGATTATAATTTTAACTAGTGTTATTCAATATTACATTTAAAGTTAATACATTTTAAATGTACTAGATTGCAATAACATCATTACAAATGTTAATTTTACAAATGCACTTAAATACACAACAAACACATTTCAAAAGAAATGACATTAAAGTATACTTTAGTTTACTATAAATGCTTGTCAGAACTTTTATTTAATCAAACTTTAATTAATTCAATTACATATAAAGATGTATTAAAGTCCTACTTTTTTTTTACCCACTTAAGTATTATTTCTATAATAAGTATGCCTTTAAAAACATATGCTACAATTCTTTTTCACAATGGAAGGCTGCAGTGTTTTTGCCTTTAAATTCAAAAGTGATTCATTTCCAGCTTTAACAAAAATGATCAGGACACCAAAATGAGGCTGATTAACAGAATCAGATCTGATGAGATTGGTGGAAAAACCATGCACAAATCAAAATCCAACCATCAACATTCTCCAACACAAAAACAATGGATAGCCTTTGATTTATAGTGCCATATCATCCCATACCAAAGGGTGATATCGCAAAAAGAAAATGAAATCAATGCTGTAGGACTTGATCAGGGAGTAAAACATCCAGTCAGGTAACCTTACCACAAACCGCAGGCCAGTGGCCTGTCGCAAACCAGTGAGAAGAAACAATCCTTCCAGGAAAGAGAGAAGAGAGCAGCGGGACAGAAAAACAAAACAAGAACACATAATACTGTTTAACCAGGAGTTATTACACAATGTCGGTCCATGAAAAGATCTCTGTAATGTTAGTGAGTAAAGAACATTTCTACAGGATCAGAAAAGCATGAGTCTGAATGGCTGCAAAATGACTAATTAATCAGATTAGTTGCTGTTTGGGATTATGTAATAAACCATTAACATTTAAAGGCTAAACCACAGTCATACCTTCCCACTCGAACTCGTTGCTGTTGTCTGAAGGGGTGTCTATATCATCCAGGTCCAGCTCTGTACTCTCATCCAGCTCATCTGACAGGACCGAACCCTCACTGTGGTCTAGGTTTAGGCTGATGTCTGGAGCCAAAAGCTTCTTTTTGGTTTTCTTTGCACTGTTTAGGCCGTAAGACTGTGAAGCTGCAATTAAAACATAATTGATCACAGTGTTTTCTGAACATAGTAACAAATGTATAATTGTCTCTACATATTCATATATGTGACCATGGACCACAAAACCAGTCATAAGGGTCAATTTTTAGAAATTGAGGTTTATACATCATCTGAAAGCTGAATAAATAAGCTTTCCATTGATGTATGGTTTGTTAGGATAGGACAATATTTGGCCGGGATACAACTAAAATCTGGAATCTGAGGGTCCAAAAAAATCGAAATATTGAGAAATCGCCTTTAAAGTTGTCCAAATGAAGTTCTTAGCAATGCATATTACTAATCATAAATTTAGTTTTAACATATTTACAGTAGGAAATTTACAAAATATCTTCATAGAACATGATCTTTACTTAATATCCTAATGATTTTTGGCATAAAAGAAAAATCTATCATTTTGACCCATACAATGTATTTTTGGCTATTGCTACAAATATACCCAAGCGACTTGAGACTGGTTTTGTGGTCCAGGGTCACATATTTGAGTATCATTATTGCTTACCAGGTGCTCCTTCACCAGAAGAGCCGGTGAAAAGCTCCTCATCAAGTTGAATATCTTCCTCTTCTGGCAGTGGCCTGGCAACCCAAATAAAACACATTCAAACTTTCTGTAATATAATTTACAAATCTGCTATCATTTAAACCAGATCTTTAAAAAAAAATCCAACATCAATCAACCTACTCCATTAAAATGTGGTCACAACACCACAAATGCAAGTTCGCTATTTTACAACTATTTTGAACGTGGCTCATCCTATTGAAATCGAAAATGTATAACTCTTTTGATTCTTTTGGTTTTCATTTGTTTATTTTATATTAAGCAGCTATTTTTGCTCTGATGCCAGACTTATTCTTTTGTTATGAATAACCTTAACATTTTGAAAAAAAATTATATTATTTTTCCCCTGCTATGAATTAAATGAACATTAAAAATGATATTTGTTTAGAGTGTAGACACTCATTAATTTCTAAACTAAAAAAAGAATTTAAAAAAAGTATATTATTTTTCCCCTGCTATGAATTAAATAAACATTAAAAAGGATATTTATTTAGTTTCTAACTTCTAATATTTATTTTAGCTTCACTCTTTAATTTCTAAACTAAAAAAGAAGAAAAAAAGATGGCATACCTTTCGTTTGTTAATTGTATAATCTGCAATAATTATCCACTTTTTACTTTAACACATTTATTAATATTAAATATTGAATTATAGTATATAATATATTATATTAAAATCGTTCTAATAAGCTAATTTGCTGCTCAAGAGATTTCTTAATAATATCATTGTTGAAAACAGTTGTGATGAAAATTCCAGTGTTTTTCAGGAATTTTGGATGAATAGAACAGCATTTGTTTGAAACAGAAATTTGCAACAATGTAAAAGTCTCTAATTTCACTTTTTATAAATGTAATGTGTCCTTGCTAAATAAAACTATTAATTTATTTCAGACCCCAAAAATCTTTCTGCCCCAAACTTGAATGCTAGTGTATGAATAAAAAAATAAATAAAAAAATAAAACATTTTGGTCATATCGCCCGCCCACTGCTACCACACACACACACACACACACACACACACACAACATCCTACCTGGGGAAGTCCTCATCTTGCCACTCCTCCTTTAGCTCCACCCCTTCCATTCTCAGCCGCGCCTCTGTGGTAGCAACCGACTCCTGGTGCTCAAAACTGAAAGCAATTAAAAAATGAATTCACCTATTAGGCAACTGTTTTAGTTTTAAAACAAATCTAGTTCATAGCATGTTATTCACTCACTAAAAACATCTGAGTTAAAAGAGTCCAGAGGTCCAAATCCGATACTGGCTGATAGTCATTCATCAGAGCTACAACTGTTGTAGTTACGGAGAAATGACTGCAAAGAGCTTCGAACTGCCTATTAAGACCACTGCACGTTAAGACGCGGTGTATCACATCTTACGACATAGAAAGATCCATTTGGGCCTCTTTGGTGCGTTAATCTCGAACACAAAGGCATGTAAACTCCTGAGGACTTCATATACAATGATTTCTGTTACATACGAGATAAGCTCTTTTACAAATGGAAGTCGGCGAAAGAGTTTCACCTTCTTTGGGGAAAGATCTGGGTGGTGACTCTGGAAAGGCCTGAAATTCTTGGAGTGTGTTCAAAGTTCAATGTTTTCGCCGTAAAGAACAAGCCTGCTCTTATTTCTTGGAAGCAGATTAGGATGCCCTTTTTGATAGAACTAAAGTCATTTCACAGCAAGATCACTGGTTGGGGCGGGACGCTCCTCAAGACCACAGACTGAATTAAAAAAATTATACTAAACACTAGATTCAGCGTTTGAATATATTTATAATTTAGACTGTAACAAAAGAGCACAAAGCTCAGAAAAACAATATTCATCCTAATGAGCGGTGTTCAGACTGGAATACTAGCATACTGCTTAGTGTGCAAAAATTGTGAAACAGTATGCAGTACGCAATTTCATACAGTAGTAGGCCAGTTATCTCCTCAAAAGAAAAAATAGTAACATTTTAGTAACATTTTCATTTTCTATGCTGTTTTCAAAACTTTCACCACAATTTGGTATGTCTCTAAATAGTTTAAAAGCTTTGTTTGGGTGATTTTGCACTAAAAATTACATTTATTTTCATTCATTATTTATTTCAGTTTTAGTCATTTTAATACTTAAACTATATTCCAGTTAGCTGCCAAGACAACATTTCTAATTTTGAAAAAGTTCAAGTTTTTCATCTAATATTTATAATTTATTTTTATAAAGATAGTAGCATTTTACATGCATTATAGGGATGTAACGATTCACTCAACTTCACGATTTTTTTTACAAAATGAGATTTAAGACAATTAAATCAATTAAATGTGTCCTTTTATTATTGCGTGGACAAAATGCTGCACATTTCTTAGTGAAATTGAAATATAACACAATAATAATATACTAATATAGCACTTGCATATTATTGCTCTTTTGTTGGTTTTGATTGCTTCTATTGTCCTCATTTGTAAATCGCTTTGGATAAAAGCTTCTGCTAAATGACTAAATTTAAATATAATGTAAATGTAAATAACCAAACTAAATTGAAATTTTAAAACAAGCCCCAAATAAAATAAATAAGTAACACAAATAAAATAAATCTCTTCATATAAACAAAATAAGGCTTTGTCTGTGCTCTTTCCTTTTAAAATTAGAGGCAACCACTGCATTTTAATCTTGATCCAAACAAAGATGCTGCATATGCTACATGCAACATGAGCAGTTTTTAAACTAAATTAGATTGTATAATTGTGTGTGTACAAGCTGTTATGTCTTCAAATTTTAATGAATGAGGAGTCATTCATCCACCAGCTGTTTAGTAATTTTAAAGAGACACTGGTTAACTGTGGACGGGAGCTAATTGCCATGCCATCCATGTGGTATCCGTCATACTCCTCCAGGGGGAAAGTCTGCCGCTCTTTATGCCACCCTCCCTACAAGAGATCTGCAACAGTTCATGCTCTCGAGTCATGCGACGCAACACTGCATGCTTGCTCGTGTCACTTTGTTGACATTAAAGTATTACATAAATTAACACAAAAGAAGAACTTTTGAATCCTTTGAAGATCTGTTTTTGTCCATACAATGAAAGTCAATGGGGTCCAAAACAACTTTGGACTCCACTGACTTTCACCGTATGAACAAAAACTTTGAATATCGTCTTTTGCATTCATGACATGAGGGTAGGACAATTTTCATTCTTAGGTGAACTATTTCTAAGATTTTGAAAGAGATTTTAAATAGAGGATTGATCAAACACTCAGTCATTATAAAGCAGAATCACAGACTTATAGACTCTGCTTAACGTACTTAATAAAAGTGGCACACAGAGAATTATTTATAGAAACTGTGTACACACCTGAGACTAATGGCGCTTTTCCACTGCATGGTACGGCATGGTACGGCTCGGTATGGTTCACTTTTGGGGGGTTTTCCACTGGGTACAGTACCTGGTACCTGGTACTTTTTTTAGTACCACCTCGGTTGGGGTTCCAAGTGAACCGTACCGTTACCAAAACGTGACGTGTAAACTCTACTGATCACGGATTGGCCGGAGAGAATCGTCACTACCTGC